GAATCCGCTGTGAATGCTACCGATACCGATACCGGAGCTGCTAAACTAAAGGAAGTGAGATGACATAGTTAATGAGGAAGGGGTATGCATCGTTCAAATTCAACTGACTTCCTTTTCCATCTGAGATCGAATGAGGGTCATTCTTTATAGATCAGATCTGCAGCGCTTACTGATTCAATCACAGCCGATACGCATTCAATTGCAAACAGAACACTGGTTAATTGAACAGTTAGCAAATCTGTACCCCTAGCGGCCTATTCTCTAGCAGCTGATTCTAGACCAGCCGATTCAATTGCAGCTACTTCGAAAAAACTGCCTATTATGGCTATGTAAAGGGACCGGCTTCCCAGAAAGGTTAATGCCCTAGGATTGGATTCATCCCCATATGGAACTGGGTGAGGGATTCCCTGAAACCAGAGCAAGAACCTAAAAAGCGATAACAAGCTAAAAGGCGCATCTCTCTAAGCCAAGATCGTCCGCTCCTCAGCAATTGATCCAAAAAGTCCCACAGCTCCTTCTTAGGCGAGCGAAGTGACCTCCGTTGGACGTTGGAAGAAAGAAGCTAATAGAGTCATAGAAGATCCCGAAAGAGGCGAATTGCCAGAAAGTTTATCAAATCCGATCCTTGCATCATCTGATCTCGATCGGGTTAACTCCTAAATTCAGGCAGTGAGCATCGAATAAGCCAATTGACACTCTCGTCCTTACCACAGATTTTTTCTCATTGTTGGCCACCGCAGCAACATCAAAAGCCGGAAATGCTATATCCCTTTGATCATGGTACTATTACAAAGGTGCAACCTCCGCGCCCATTCCTTCTTTCAGGGCTTTCCCCCCATATGTATACTCCTCTCCTTTTCGTCGAGTAAGCAAGTAAACTACCTTCACCCCAGAACTAATAATGGAGAATGGTAATCCAACTGATTTACGACTATACCAGGAATAATTGGCTGCTTAAGACCGGAATTTATCTAACGCTTAACAAGATTCGATTCGCGCTAAAAAAAGACTAAAATGGCTGTACAGGGCCGGAGCCTATTCTCATCAGACAGAAGACCGGCCTCTGGAATCGATCTAAAAATTTTAAAAAATAAATTCGTTTATCGCCCATGCTTGCTATATGAATTTTATACTTTATTTATATTCATTATTAATTTCTATTTCTTTAGCCTGGGGGAAGCTCCTAATGGAAAGAGTACTATCATTTAAGCAGGGTGACAGATTGCCATTGACCTCAGACCTCACAAAGGCGGATGCTCCTGTAGGTAGGAGCTACTTCACTTTCGGTGTTCGGCGCTCCCTTCGAACTGATATCCAAAGATTCCCTGTAACAGGATGGTTTGAAATGATGGTTTATTACAGGTTCTGGTGACATGAATAGGATGAGCATACGAATGAGCCGGGACATGGATAACGTAGTGGTTCGAGCCGGTCGAGAGTACGAGATTACTGACCGAAGACTCTTCAATTGAGATGGGCCGAAGACCTGCTAGCGAAGGAATGCATCCAACAGTGTTCTGTCTCATTGGTCCTCTCACGCGCTCAAAAATACACTTTGTTCTCCCGGAAATCACTTCAATTATAATACATGACTTATCTTAGTTCGATCTGATACCTCTCGATTCAGAGAGGAGTATCATTTTTAGTCTCCCCGTCTTGATCTCTACTAATTCGATATGAGACTGGGGGAAGGGAAGCTTTATGGGAGAAAGGAGGAAAAGGTCAGGCTAGTAGCTAAAGGCTTTACTCAAACATATGGGATAGATTACGAGGAAGCCTTTGACCCGGTAGACAAGATGAAGTCTCTTCGTCTCCTGCTCTCTATTGCTGACAATCGGGATTGGCCTCTGTTACAATTAGATGTTCTAAATGCCTTCCTGAACGGGGACTTACAGGAAGAAGTTTACATAAGTCCTACACCGGGGGGAGGAGAACAAGAGAGGTCAACGGGAGTCGAAGACAAACGACGGCGACGAGAATCTGTCAGCGATCCCAAGAAACAATGACCCATTCTGCTCCCCCTTCGTACTACCAAAAAATGAGATTCTTGCCTGGCTTTCTTTCGGCTTAAGAAGGCTGCGGTGAGAATGAGGATCACTTCGGAACTCTAGGAGAATGGGCGTTTTAGGGCGGGATCTAAAAGCTCTACAACGTGTTGCGGAGCCTTCGGCCGTGAGAGGGGAGGGTCTTTTGGCTTCCTCGGGGCCGTGTGAAGCTTAGCTTGCT